ATTCTTAAGTATTTATCATCCATTCTGTATTAAAGAGGGAGGACCCAGAAACCCTTCTACTGAGATAGGATGAATGAAGATTTCATTTACTGGGCCCTTAGAGTTGGATGTCCTGTTGTCTAACTGAAATTTTTTTCCTCCTTGATACAGATGAGTAGTCCTCACTTCGAGCTCTTTTCATCAAAAATTCCAGATCCTCAGGTACCATCTGTGGTGACTTTCTGCAGGTTTTAAAACCCTGCCTCTGTTGAGCTCTCATCATTTTGGTGGTTTCTGTGTTTGGTCTCATTAGTCTGCGTTCCACAGGTTCTCAGCTGCCATTTGATTTCCTAACTTGTCCAGAAGTATTTCTGGAATATTAATCACTTTTTCTTTGAGGCATCAGACAAAGCCATAATGTCTCAGACTAGAAATAATTACCCAGTATGATCATGGCATCCAAGACCAGACAGAGTCTAGGAACTCATTACGAAACAGTTTACTTGGAATGGAGAAGGCCCATCTGTAATAACAGATCCTGTCATTTCATTCATCTCAAATTATTTTGAATTCTTTCCAAATGGCCGTGGGTTTAGATGGTAGTAGGCCTGTGGGCCATAAATCTGAAGCCTTGAGAGCCTTGGGTCTGGAGAGCCATGAAGAGGGAAGGAAAAGAGGGCAAGTCTTGAACCCAGCCAAGGACCTGATGGATTGCTCGACCAAGACACAGAAGTGAAGTCTGTGTCCACGTGTTTCCTACAGACTGGAGTTTTTGGTGCTGAATAGAAGAGCAGTTGCTGAAAAACTAGGGGTTTGGTGAATAAATTTTTGATTGATATGTATGTATACAATGTGTGATTTTGCAAATAAATAGCAACAACAATAAAAACCCTGACTGGTTGATTTTTACCTGTATTCTTTGCGAATATTGTTTGACCCTCTTTGAAAACTGTTACACTTGACTAATGGAAGTCTGCTGTGTTTGTGGAAATTCTGTAATTTTTTTTCTCTTTTTAATTTTTTTTCCTTTTCATTTTTTTTCTTTGCCTGCAGAATCATTGAGACTAATAAGTCTTAATATTTATTTGACTTGTTTAATAAATGTTACATAGATGTAAAAGACTGTATAAACTGTAGAGATAGCATTGGCAAGACTTTGTACAGATGCAACCTCTTACACAACACCATTGTATAATTAATTTGTAAAGATACACATATAGCTCTTTATTATAGTGATTTTTTTGGCTTTTGTACCAATTGAATGCCATTTTTTTGTGGTTTTTAATTATTTTCTTTATCTTTTCATGTTACAAAAGCTGAGGTATGGGTTTTTTGAGTTTATTTATCGTTAGAATGTCTGAACTTTTATGTAACTTTTTGTGCGCATCTCTAAATGCGAACACCACATGTTTGCCTATGACCAGTTTATAGAACTCAAGGTATCTTCTAGGTTCAAGTAATTCACAAGTTGGTGAATGTCATCTTGCAGCCCGCCCTGTACAGTCTTCCTTAAAGGAACACTACGGTATATTTTTTAGTATCTACTTGCTGAATGACTCGATACAGACCTAAGCACAGCAGAGGTCCTGGTACAGTATTTAAGTGTCAGCATACACAGGCGTAATCCCTGTATAGTGTAGTGCCAAACTGATTATTTCGATTGTGTAACTAGTTTAAAACCCAATAAAAGGATTGTTTTTAACACCTGGCTTTTGTCTTCATTACAAGGAGAAGACCGTTCTGTAGCCAGTGACCCTCATGGATTCCTTTTGCATTCATAGATCTGGATCTGTAAATTCATGCCCTCCGACCAGAGTGAATTATCTAGATCAGACCTGTCCAGCACAATAGGTCATAGCGATGTGTGACTATTTACATTTAAATTAAATTAAAAAATTCCTCAGTCTCAATAGCCACATTTCAAGTGCTCATTAGCCACTTTTGGCTAGTGGTTACCCTGTTAAATAGGCAGGTGAATATTTTCATCATCACAAAGTTCTGTTGGACAACACTGGTCTAAATGATTGATTCTCAAATTGATGGGCCGAGAATGTGAATTTTAGTTCATGCCCCCAGCTCATGATATTGATGCCTGGTCCTGAGACCACAGTTTGAGCAGTGAGGTTTTATGTTGTATTGACCACTTCAATTTTTCCTAGCCAAGCTGTATGAAAATACACTGCCATAGGCAAGGTTCCTAAAGTGGGGAATTTAAAAAATATAAGATACTGGGCACCCACTGTGTTCCTCAGAATTTCTGTGGTTGGGACTCAGGCATCAACGTCTTTTAAAAGCTCCGTAAATGCTTCAGTTGTGCAGCCAGGATTGAGAACCACTGGTGACGACTCCTAAGGCCCACTCTAGGCCCAAAAGCGGGGCACCTTAATCACATGCCCAATGTGATTCTGATACCAGGCTTAGGAGTTGCTTATTACTTTGATACCCTAACTGGTTATATTGTGAATTATTTAATTCCTAAATTTTCTATCAGTGGCCTCAAGAATGAAAAGGAGGAGGGAGAGAAAACGGATGAATGGCCACTGTTGTCTAAATTCTTAAATGGATGTTGCATTCAAAAGAATGGAGAACGCTAGCAGGAACAGTGTTAAGGGAACACAAGTGTTATGGGTTTGGGGGGTGGTGTGTGTAGGCAGACCAGTGTTTGGAAGTCACTGCTGATTGGGCCTGGAAGACTGAGCTAAGGCAGGTTTCGGGTGGGGATGGGTGGCGGGGGGAGTGGTAGGAAGTAAGGGGAGGAGAAAGCCTGTATCATTAATGTTGTATGAGCCAATAAATAATCTTCAGTTTCTGAATGAATCCTTTAAAGAAGAAAGAATTTGCAAATTGTGTTTCAAAATTTGGGAGGAAAATTTACCTACCTATTTTCTTTTTTTTTTTTTTTTTTTTTTTTCACTGTTGTGGCCTCTCCCATTGTGGAGCACAGGCTCCGGACGAGCAGGCTCAACGGCCATGGCTCACGGGCCCAGCCGCTCCACGGCATGTGGGATCTTCCCAGACCGGGGCACGAACCCGTATCCCCTGCATCGGCAGGCGGACTCTCAACCACTGCGCCACCAGGGAAGCCCTTACCTACCTATTTTCTTAATGATTAGTAATGTGGCCAGAGAGAACCAGTGAGGAATTTTGTCTTGCTGGAAAAAAACTTTCTACAGACTTTGTAGTTATTTTTGCGGCCAAGGGCCATTTGTCTTGTTACTGTCACTGTTTTGGGTATTCCCTCATTGTTGAACATCAAGGTTTTCAGTTTTCTCTACTATAGATCACACTGCAGTGAACATTTTCATCCCTTCATACTTAAAACTTGTTTCTTTTATTCAGGTATTTCCTTAGGATAAATTCGGAGGAGTGAGATTTTTAGGTCATGAATCTAAGCATTTTAATGGCTCTCATGTTCTTTCCTCAAAGTGCATGTGTCAGTTTGCATTGTCAATGATAGTGTGTATCAGAATGTTGGTTTCCCTGCCAATTGATAGCCTATTCATATCTTAACATACTTCGAGTCAGCCCTGCTTGTTTATTTGTAGATTTCCATTTGGTGACTACTAAACCAGTGTTCTTTCCAATTTGACACACTGCTGGTACGTTTTGTAGACGTGATCATAGTAGCTTTCGTCTTGTTGATCGTGCTTACTAGTTCTGGAACTTGGATGGTTCCAGATTTCCTCTTCTAGCTCTCTAGAATCCTTTACAACTTGTGAAATTTTTTTTTTTGAAATTATTTCCAAATTCTGATAGCATAGTCAACCCCTGGACTGGGAATCTACCTCATAAATTATCCAGCCCTCTTGATTTTCTCTTGATGAAAGCAGAGTGGTGGGGGTGGCTGGGAAAAATATATGCGTAAATCCAATTATTTGGTACTTGTTGGTGCCGAACTGTTCTGTTTTAGAAGATAAACTATCGGCCAAAATAGGTGTTTCAATAGCAGTGTCCTAAGTACTTCACTTGAATGGAACTTTCTGGTTTTCTGGTACTCGGTGAAGGAAAGAACACTCAAATAGCACTCTGTGTTTCCAAGTGGTACCCTCTGAGAAGGTCAGAAAAGTAGTAAGATCCTAGTTACCCAGGTTGGGACACTGAGGTAGTAAAGAGTTTAACTGGCTTTCTTTTGTCCCCAGAGTAACAAACATACTTGGGAATGTTACTTGATAACTCTTGAGACTAAAACCCACTTTTATGAGTTCATTATTTTGGACACACTGTGCACTTTAGAATGAGAGGCTGGTAAATATTTTGGTTTGTGTCCTTGCTTGCTAAAATTAGCTGCATACATTGCACCATTGCTTTTCAAGTTGATTTACATTGAACACAGTATTGAGTAACGTCGATGATTTCTTGGCTTGGTTATTTCATTTGCATGGGTAGTTTCTTTGCTCTTTGCATTTGTTTCCTGGTAGTTATGCCCTTTGCTGAGTTCCCTCAGTAAATTCATTAATACTTTCAGAGAGCTGAGAGGAGAAAAAATTAGGTTATAGTTGGTTTGATTTAAAGTCTGTTGCAATGACTTGATTTACAGATTCTGTGTCTCAAAGTACCAAACTGGACGACAACGCCAGTTGAATCTAGGAGAAAAAGTATTAGCTACAGCGTAGAGAGGAGCTAGGAAGGCGGACTAGGAAGCGCTAGGAATGGGGAGAGGTGGGTGGCGGGCCGACCAGAAGCCTGGGAAGCCCCCAGATCCCGCCAAGACCGACGTGAAGCCTGGCCACGCCTCGCTGTCCACGGTCTCCACCCTCTAAGGGCAAAGGCCCCCATGGGTCGCGCTGTGTCCGTCGGTGCCCCCACCTTTGCCCTCCTCTCCACCCAGCCCGCTCCCCCTCTTCCTCGGTATGTCAGCTCGTAACAGCCTCGGGGAGCCGCCACTGCCCGAGCGGCAAAACGGCGCGCCTGAGACCTCGCGCGGCGCGGAGGACTGAGGTCGGGGCGGCGGGAGCGGTCGGGCCCCGGGGCAACGGGAGGCCCGCGAGTCGTCGAGGGCGCAGGGGCAGGAGGGGCGCCGAGCCGGAGTGTCCGGCGTGGGGGTGGGGGGCGGCGCCCTCGGCGTCTCCGTGACTGCGCCTCCGCGTCCCGGCTTGCCGCGGCTCCCGGGATGCGCGGAGGCGGCGGTGATGGCGATGATGCCTGTAGCCCTGTATCCTCCCGGGCGGCGGGCGGAGCTGGGGTCCGAGCTGCGATATGGAGGAGGAGGGGCGGCGCTGCGGCCACCGGGCAGGTGAGAGACCACGGGCCCCTGGAAGAGGACGACCCCTCGGGGACCGGGAGGGCCGGGCCCTGAGAAGCCGCCGGGTGAGCGAGGAGGCGGCCGCACAGGTCCAGGCCCGGCCGCCGTGCACCTGCGCTCCTGGCGCGGCCTGCGGGGAAACCATCTCGCGCCTGCCCTGCCGGTTCCCCGGCTCCGCGGGGCCCGTGGAACCCCTCCCTCGCCGCCCATGCCCTGCCTGAGCCCTCCCCACCTCACCAACCCTCTGCTGCATCTTTTACAAGCTTCCCTGGACCGACCTAGGCCCTCCTTACCATAACCTTCCCCAGCCAGGGGAGCCCCTACCCATCTCAAGTCCCTGGTCTGGGTCGCTGTGCCTTCCCAGAGGTCTCCCACAACATCCTCACACTGGGGGTGCTCCACAGCCTCCCCTCTCCCTCATCCACTGACAGACCTGACCCTATCAGCTGCTCTGGACTTCGAAAGGTAGTTCCACTGGGGAGAAAGAGCATGGCCTCTGAAATCAGATAAATCTGGCTTGAATCTTAGTGACCTTGGACAAGTCATCTAACTTCCCTGATGTTTTCCTGATCAATACAAATACAATGGGAATAATAATAATAACAGTACAGAACCTTGTTTTCTTGTGAGGGTTGGTTAGACTGAGAATGCCTGCCCACAAGGAACTGAGGATATAATGAGAAAACAAGAGTTGGAAGAATCCAGGTCATGAGTTGACTTGTAAAAGCTCATATAAAATGTTTTAATATGTACTAAAATATTAAGGCAGCACACTAGATTATCAAGAGGCTCTTCACACACATCCTAATGAGAAATCATTGCTGAACAATTTTCACTTATTTCTTGCTTACTTTAGGCTCTCTCCTTCTTAGTTGTAATAAGATGCATATGATATGAATTCATTCCTTCTTATTGTGCTTAATATGTTTTCTTCTTAAGACTGGTGTTCCAACTTAAAATTTCTCTGATTTTATTACTTTAATTACATCTTCTTACAGAACTTGTTTATGGTCCCAGAGATAAAGAGTAACTTGTATGCTTGCATTGAAAAGAATGTTGGTAACCTTTATTTAATATTTAGAAGTAGCAAATAGGTATTCATTTACTGCCTCCCTCCCCCAAGTAAGTGAGATTTATAGTTCTGCTATCATAGCTTTTCCCCAAATTGTCATCTCAACCTCCTCTTTCTTAAAGTCTCAGAAGTTAGTCCTAAGACCTGGGTTTACTTTCCTTCCATTTCCTTACTGCTTCTAAAGTTTCTCTGCCCAAACCTTTACTTCTGTTCTGTCTTCTGCTTTTTCTCCCTTTTCTCTTCCCAGCCTCTGATTCCTTCCTTTTTTTCCTAATTATCCCAAATCAGAATGATTTATAGTTACTTTATACCAGAACCATAATTTTTCAACCTTGCCAAAAAGGTACATGGAAGTGTATATGTGTGTGTGTGTGTGTGTGTGTGTATTCAAATTTTGGGCTCCAGGAAATTTGAGTTGGGAAGGGATTGCAATACGTACTTCGTAGGATTATAATGAGAATGAAATAAAGTTTGATAACCTATGTAAAGCTTCTAGTAGAAGTGCCTGACATATAATAACCACCCAGTAAATTATAGCTGCTGTAACTGTCTTCTGACCTGGGACTCCCTGCCTTGATTGCTTTGCTATTCTGTTTAGCTTGGTGGTGGAGTGCTGCCTTTAGAGAGTAACTGCTTAGGTTCAAATCCATACTGTACCCCTTTAAGATAGGTGCTGTCTCTCTCTGACTCAGTTTCCTCATCTGTAAAATAGAGGTAAGTCATACTATCTCAGGGTTGTTTTGACGATTCAATATATTAATAGTGTGGAGCACTGAGAGCAGTGCCTGGCACATCACAAGCACTTAGTAAAGTGAACATACTAATGATAAGACCGATCATTATATTCCTGACCCAGAATTCTACTTTATTTTTTAATGTATTGAAAAAATTTAAGTTTATTGAAGCAATTATAATTGGAGAGAAAGTGAAAGTTGCCCCTCAACTCCTCCAAATCCTTTTTTTTCCCTTCTGCCTCTTATCCTTGACTAATGTTGGTGCCTCATCATTCCATTTTCCCCTTTCCAAATTTCTCCCAGCCTGGGGTCTTCATAACTTCCATCATCCGCTTCTTTTTTATTACCCACTTACTCGATATTTTTCTTAGCATCCTAATTCCAGACTCTTCATCATTCTAATTTCCCCAAGCCAAATTTCTGCTTCTCTCTTTGGGGTCAGGGGAATTTGCTATAAACAGTAGTATCACCTTTCTGCTCTTCTTGCTTCCACAAATTGGATTTTCTCTTCTACTTCTTTTTTCATCAGTTAACCCCAATCCTCCAATTAACAATTAAAAAATTAACAGTAAAAAGTTTTTTTTTTCACTACACAGGTATCAAAAAGGGTTCAGAAACAGGCACATACTCTAAGTGAAAATAATAAGCTATCCATTATTATTATTTTTTAATTCTAATCATCAAGAAACAAAAGGTCAGGATTAATTTTTCTATCTCTTTTATATCAGGAGAGTACAGAAAAGTTGGTCCTACTTCTCAGTGGAGAAATTCATTATATTGTTACGATCTGCACTTTTGACCATTGAGAATGTGGAAGAGGTTACCTTCTTCCTTCATGAAGGACACCAGTTAGTTTTATGGATCTCCCCAGGACTGAAATTTGTCTGATACTGGCACAGCTGTACCTATTATTGAATGCTGGGTGACTTCTGTATTGGGTGGTCCATAGCTCCTGCTTGGAGGCCCCAGTAATACCTCACTAACCAGGCCCCTTCCTCTGTACCCCATGATTCAGCAACTAAAGGGTTAATCCTAGGACAGCTGGAGGCCTCTGGGACTCAGCTTGAGCTGGTGGTTAAATATTCTGAGCATCACCCATGGACCTCCCCAATACCACTGGTTATTCCTAAAATACTGGATTAAAGCAAGTTATTTTTGGTTGCCAAGAGCATTGCACCAGTCTCCAAGGAACAACTTAAGCTGTACCACTGGAGGCATCTTTGGGAGCGGGATGGGCACCAGGCCACACAGGGCTTTGGGATTTGGGACAACAGAACATTATGTGAGTGTATTTTAAATCTCATTGCAAAATGGGAAAAAAATGTTAGGAAAGTAAAGGACCAAGAAGAAAAAGAAGTTGTTCTTTAAAAGTAGAGGCAGTGTCTTATTCATCTTTGTGCCCACGGTACCTAGCGTAAAGCTGGAGTAGAGTATGCACACGGTAGATATAAACTGGGTGAATGCATGCATGAATGGGTGCATGCCTCCTGCTTCCACGAGGATATATTCCTGCTGGGATAATGATAACTCACATTTATATAGAGTTTGCAAAGTGGTGCTCCACCCCTTGTAAATCTCAGATATAATTCTGACACCATTACTTCCATTTTTTCCCTCTCAAATATAGTCCTACACAAAGTTCTTTTCCAAAGGAGAGTGTGGAGTTGGCCAAAAAATCACAAATAGGGAGAAGAAAATATAAATAACGGAAAATAAAGGATTCTTCCTAGGAAGAGGAGTCGGATTTGTTAGTGATGTGTGGGAGTTATGTAAAAGGCCACAGTATACACTTCAAAAGTAGCCTCTTGCTTACGCGTCAAGCACAGCACGTGCTGTTCCTTGCCTCAGTCCTTCTGCTGCAAAGACCTACTCCCCTTCTCCCAGCCTGTCTGTCCCCCACTCCCTGCCCCTTGCCTTCCACCCAACTAGCTCCTCCTTATCGAGAGCTGCTTCACCCTCTCTCGGCCTTCACCCCGGGCTGGATTATGTCCGCCTTCTTTTCCTCCCACAGTGTGCTGCCATCAGCTGATTTGCCACATTTGGCTGCAGTTACCTGGGTTGATCTCCTCCAGCTACTTTGTGATCTCTTTCGTGGAGAGATCATGTTCTCGTGTCTTCAGTGTCTGGCACTGCAGAGTTTCCAAAGGTAACATCTGCACACCCATCCTTCAGACACAATCTCAAGGGGTGAGGCCCAGGAATCTGTTTTTTGTTTAACCCACTCTCCAGATGATGCTTAACCTAGTTTGAAAACCACTGTGTCATAAAACTTGAAATCAGCTGGATGAATGTATTTTGAGGTCTCTGTGTCTTTCCTGTGTCGGGCTTTGCAAGGAGAAATGCTTTCTAGGCACTGGGTCAGAGCTGAAAAAGTCTAGTGCTTTTGTAAAAGATCATGAGGTCACTCTTCTTTCTCCATTAATTCCTTTCTGTTTCTGGGTATGCATTTTTGTGCGCAGGCTTTTCTGCCTTGGGCCTCTTTTGTCAAATATCGCTCATCTGTGAGTTGAGGCCCTGACTCCCTTCACACAGAAGGAAGTCATCTCTCTCTGAAGATGAACTCAACAGACCTCTCTCAGGATGCTCCCAACACTACCCTGCTAAATGTGCCTCACTCCCAGGGAGAAAACAGCACTGCTCTCCAGGAAGACCTCCAGGACCTCATCCACACGGCCACCTTGGTGAGCTGTACCTTTCTGCTCGCAATCATCTTCTGCCTGGGCTCTTACGGGAACTTCATTGTCTTCTTGTCCTTCTTTGATCCGGCCTTCAGGAAATTCAGAACCAACTTTGATTTCATGGTCCTGAACCTGTCCTTCTGTGACCTTTTCATTTGTGGCGTGACGGCCCCCATGTTCACCTTCGTGTTGTTCTTCAGTTCAGCCAGCGGCATACCGGATGCTTTCTGCTTCACCTTCCACCTCACCAGCTCCGGCTTCATCATCATGTCCCTCAAGACAGTGGCGGTGATTGCCCTGCACCGGCTCCGCATGGTGTTGGGAAAGCAGCCGAACCGCACGGCCTCCTTTCTCTGCACCTTGCTCCTCACTCTGCTCCTCTGGGCCACCAGTTTCACCCTCGCCACCTTGGCCACCCTGAAAACCAGCAAGTCCCACCTCTGCCTTCCCATGTCCAGTCTGATTGCCCGAGAAGGGAAAGCCATCCTGTCTCTCTATGTGGTCGATTTCACCTTTTGTGTTGCTGTGGTCTCTGTGTCTTACATCATGATTGCTCAGACCCTGCGGAAAAATGCTCAAGTCAGAAAGTGCCCCCCTGTGATCACAGTTGATGCTTCCAGACCACAGCCTTTCATGGGGGCCCCTGTGAAGGGAGGTGGAGATCCCATCCAGTGTACCATGCCAGCTCTGTACAGGAACCAGAATTACAACAAACTGCAGCACGTTCAGACCCACGGATACACCAAGAGTCCCAACCAGCTGCCAACCCCTGTGGCCAGCCGGCTCCAGCTGGTGTCGGCTGTCAATCTCTCCACGGCTAAGGATTCCAAGGCGGTGGTCACCTGTGTGATCATTGTGCTGTCGGTCCTGGTGTGCTGCCTTCCACTGGGAATCTCCTTGGTGCAGGTGGTTCTGTCCAGCAATGGGAGCTTCATCCTTTACCAGTTTGAACTGTTTGGTTTTACGCTTGTATTTTTCAAGTCAGGATTAAACCCTTTTATATATTCTCGGAACAGTGCAGGGCTGAGGAGGAAAGTGCTGTGGTGTCTGCAGTACATAGGCCTGGGTTTTTTCTGCTGCAAACAGAAGACTCGGCTTCGAGCCATGGGAAAGGGAAACCTCGAAGTCAACAGAAACAAATCCTCCCATCATGAAACAAACTCTGCCTACATGTTGTCTCCAAAGCCCCAGAAGAAATTTGTGGACCAGGCCTGTGGCCCAAGTCATTCGAAGGAAAGTGTGGTCAGTCCCAAGATGTCTGCTGGACATCAACACTATGGTCAGAGCAGCTCAACCCCCATCAACACTCGGATTGAGCCGTACTACAGTATCTATAACAGCAGCCCATCCCAGGAAGAGAGCATCCCACATAACTTACAGCCAGTAAATTCTTTTGGATTTGCCAATTCATATATTGCCATGCATTATCACACCACTAATGATTTAATGCAAGAGTATGATAGCACTTCAGCCAAGCAGATTCCAGTCCCCTCTGTTTAGAGTCATGGAGGCTAGAGAATCTTATGTAAATGTTTTTGTTTCTGATACTAATTGATTTTTTTTAAATTCTGTGAGACCAGAGGTACATCAAAACTTAAAAACCTAGACAGTTGACACTAATGACTCCCTTTTGTCTGAAGTATTAGCATCTATTGGTTTGCTTTGCAGTTTCTTGACATTTTAAGAGTTGATGTAAATGTTTATTATTTTACACCTGACCTGTGCTCCAATCTTTTGTACTAAACTTTTAAATAGATGCCAGGGAATGATCATGCTACTGTATTAAAGTAGGGAATGAACTGATTATGGTCATTTGAGTCAATGTTATGGTTCTTTGAAGTAAGTATGAGCTGGAATTTTTAAAGAACGCAAAGGTATCATCTTTACTGAGGCATTATTTTTATTAACTGAATTATAAATTTTGACTCTTTGAAGTGTTGAATTGAGATCAATATACTTTTTTCGGTTGCAAGCTTACTGGAATAAATAATACATTGTTAAAGCAGAAAATCAGAAATGTATTATCTATAACTATTTTTACCAAAAATACACAAGCATTAGTTACTTTCTTTTCATAAGACAGCCAACTAAGAATAGGGTATTAGGAATACCCTATTATAGGGTATTAGGAATACCCTATAATAGGAATAGATTATTACCATTTGTAATTGTAGACATTATTATTTTGTGTCAGCTGAGTAGCTGTATAGTTCTTTTAAAAAGAAGTCTGGGACTTCCCTGGTGGCGCAGTGGTTGAGAGTCCGCCTGCCGATGCAGGGGATGCGGGTTCGTGCCCCGGTCCCCGGTCCGGGAGGATCCCACATGCCGTGGGGCGGCTGGGCCCGTGGGCCATGGCCGCTGAGCCTGCGTGTCCGGAGCCTGTGCTCCGCGATGGGAGAGGCCACAGCGGTGAGAGGCCCGCATACCGCAGAAGTCTGTTTTTTCTTGCTAAAAATGAATTATTCTATTTCAGAATGATCTTGCCCAAGAAACCTAGTGAGGAGGACTGCATCTATAGTAGAGGGGTGCTCTCCCTGGGGTAGTAGGCACTAACTGTGGTCATCTCATCAGGGTGCTGTTATGTGGGAAGCAGCCTAGACTGTTGTATGTAGACTCTTGTATGTACAAGAAGGCATAAGGATGAGGTGGGGGTGTTTCGATTTATGCTTTCCTTCTGTGTGAGAATGATTTGTTAACAACCTGACGAAGACTATCTAAGTAACTATTTAGAAAAAATTTTTGGTCTTTGTTTATATATTACCATGGTAGAAAAATTCTTAAGATGATCTGTTTTCAAACTAATTGTGTTATTTCTCTCCCATGAATCTTAAACTGGAAATGGGCAATAAGGCAAAATAGATTAAGTATTTCTACACTTAAACTAATTTTATTATATACTCTGTGATTCCTAGCGTAACTACTGTAAACTTATATTTTTGTGTAAAAATGTTTTCATTATACAGTTGGCATTTGAACTCAATACAATTTTGGAACTATAACTTCTAGACAAGATGAGCATCAAGATACAAAACCTATCTTTATAAATTGTTATATTCAAGAACTGTTATTGCAGATTGGAAGGTACTTTGTCCCTTGGATGAAAGGTGTTCAGTTTATAGCATCCTCTCCCATGCTGTTCCCAAATACAGAGGTCATGAGACGCATGGAGAAGACAGCTGGTACTCAGCTAGAACTCTGCTCAGTCTCATCTAATAACTCTTACCTTCCAGGATCAACCAGTCATTTCTATTTACGAGGCTTAAGTATGAGATATGGATTTTATTTTGCTGTTAAATTCACCTTTTAGGACTCTCTCCCTTCTTTCCTTCTCTCTCTTTTGTCCTTTTATTTTTGCTATTAAATTTTATAACAGAAGAGAAAATATACACTCTTCTTTTTTTCCTTTGGTAATTGAATGCTATTTTTGGAAGTCACTATGACCTATTTCAACTGTGCTTTTATATTTTTAATACAACACTATTTTCATTTATTAATACTTCCATGAGGTATGTTCGTATATTACCTCTTTTTAACAAAGAATTAAGAAATATAATATCCTCTCCCAAGATCATTTGAAGAATTGTGGCAAATTAGGAATGAAACTTTTGTCTAAATTCAGTACCTGGTATTTAAGTCAATAAGCCAAACAGCTTTATAAGTAATAACATTGTAATCAAGAAGCTATTTCATACTTTTTAAGGTATGAATCTCTTTTTTGGCCAGGCATTTCAAATGTGACTCAATAAAAGATTTTTTAAAAAGTGATTTCTACTTGTAAAACTAAAAATGACAGGTTTCCTTTGTGACCTGTGAGTCTGAGATGATTTGACCCATCTTTGGGAGGTAAAAATCATAGCATAAAGACAATAAGCATGTGCATATGAGGTGTTCAGTCTCTTTATGCTCATCAAGAAATTATTGATTCAACTTGCATGAAACACATAGCAGGCTAGATTCTTAGCCTTCCTCTATATTTATATCTCTGTATCTATGTTTATGTGTAGATATATGTAGATACAGATACAGAGATAGATATATGTAACTTGTCTCTTCATTAAGTTATATATGTCTATCTATATCTATGTCTATATGGAGATAAAGATATAAATAGACATATATAACTTTTCCATAAGGGCTAAAATGAGAACTTTTATAAAAGTAATGAGAATTCAGTTGAATATGACTAATTAGCAGGGTATATTAATTATTTCTCTTGATGCTTTACTGTGATGCAAATTGTTCTGATGTTAACCATTAGGTCAGATTTGTATTTCTGATGCTTTTAATGTTCTTTTAAACTAATGTTTGGAAAATAAAAATAATGAAAAACCTAACATTTCTGAACATCAGACTGCAATACTTTTACTTTCCTGTCAATCATTTTAAAACCATCGGAGAATAGCAGTGTTGAAACTCAGAGAGAGTTCTTTTCCTTAAAAGACAAATAACTTGTTTGACCACATTGTGTAGCATGCATCTGTGCTCAGAACAACCAAGAATAATTAGTTCCAAAGGTTAATTATTTACTAAACTAAGTTTATCACCCAGCGGGAAAACTCCTAACCATTTCAAAAACTTCTTTAAAATGAAATGAATCTGGAAAAAGATATGGAATTCTGGGTATTTCAGTTTATCAATCACGGTTTTAAGAATCAGAAAACATTAAGCAGAAAAGAACTGAATATCGGAAATCAGATGTCTTCTCAATCATTAAAAGGTCAAGGCTCTATGATGACATGTCTGCAGGAAACATTCCAGAATAAACACTACCAGTCTGACTAGCCAGCAGAGATGCTTTTTCGGCTACAGCCAGGAAGGGAAGGAGTGAGGAGTCCTCCTTGGACCTTGGACTTCAAGGACACCTGTTGAAGTAGACATCCAGAGAGATCAGGAAGCTGCTGCACTGCCACAACCTCTACAACTAACCCTCTTGACACCCTCCAAAGCAAATGCTAAACATCAAAGCAGTGCCGCAGAAAGAAATTTGGCACCAGGCATTTAGTTGGCAGAACCCAATTTACATTTAAAACCCTGGTTTCTGTGAATCTGGAAAGTGTAGTTACACTAAAAAGGTAAACTAAAAGGAGGTTCAGAACAGATACTGAGTTCCAATCCACTCCGTCCACAATGGTCCATCTTTTTGGTGCTCAACATTTATAGCTGCTCCTTTAGCCGTATTTCCAAAGAACACCAACTCTCCCATTTGAAATAATGCAACTTCTCTCATTTAAACAAAAACGTGCCTCCTCTCTTCCAGAGGAAAGATGCAAAGTCCGATCAACTATTCTGTTTCTCGGTAATGTTACTCTTCTGGTTCAGTCAAAAATCTCAACTTTATATTCTGTAACCTAAGGATGAAATTGTAAAGTTTACCACTGTATGGTCAGGCCACTTAAGATGACTGTTCTCTTGTTCTCTGTACATCCCCTGCCCAACCAGTGTCTGCTTCACCTGCACCCTGTTCACATGACTGACCGTCCTGCAAACTTGCCCCAGCTGGTGGTTGTTCTTATCAAAGGGGCAGTGAGAGGCTTGATAAGAGGCATGCCCCTGTTGGTTTCCCTGGTAACTAATGAGCCCACCTGATGTCAATTCCCCTATAACTGGTAATTCCCCCCACAGGGAGCGAAGACTGCGGTATGTCCTGCCCGTCGTCCACCACACACAGTGGGCTGTTGCTCCAGGACCTTGCTTCAGACATGTAAGCTCCCCCATCCATTAAACCATTTGATACCAGGGTTCTAGGCCTTCCCCAGTCAATAGAAATTGATAAGAGGCCAGTCAAGAAATTCAGGCAAGGCTTTATTGGGGCCTCTGTTGCAGCAGGAGGGAGTGAAAACAAGTAACAAGTTCCCTTGCTCACTCCCCAAGGTGGAGGGAGCTGGTTCCTTATATGGGGTTGAGGGTAGGGGTGTGACCAGGGGTCGGGCCAGAGGGGTGGCTCAGGTGTTTTGCCCACCCCTTTGTTGGTATTGAGTGCTGGGGGCATGTGCAGTACCCTGCTTTTGCTCCCGACACCCTGTTTTTACTCCCAGCTCTTCAGAAGTGGCAGTTGGGTTTTTTTTTTGTCTTTTTGTATCTTTTGTCTAGAATATGCCGGAACTGTGCATGGACAGCAGCTACTTTTAGTCCCGTATAGTTTTCTTTGTATCAGTATTTTCTTGCTCCAGGAGATGTTAGTTCAGGCACAAGCATTGCAGCACTGCAGCAAAGGGCCCCAGGTCATAGCCTGTCTCACACTGTCTGTTGCTGATTCCAGGCTCTTTCTTCAGTCTTGAAGCTGGGCAAGCACAGGCCTTGTAGGCCTGTGGGGTGCAGCCCAATAACCACCAACAAACACATCTTATAGAAAGTAGCAGAGAAAACAGGGTAAGAACAAGAAATAGGTTGAAATGTTTCATAAGGGAGAAAATATGGGTGCTAATATAGGCCTTACTTGCTTCTGATCAGGAAGTTGTGGTTGGTATTTTGTAACTTCCACTACTCCCTGCTTCCTATCCCTTTGCCCTCCGCTAGCATATTGCATAGTCTGAGAAAATAAATAACTTATAAAATAGTGGAGGGAAGGAAATACTAAGAAAATAAAATTTAGGGAGTATAAAGCAGGATTACAGAAATAAAAACAGCAAGAAAATAAATGTAAATGCTTAATGTCGTTTATAAAAGACAAAAATCCTTGAATTAAAAATATGTAAGGGGCTTCTCTGGTGGCGCAGT